GGTCTGCCTCGCCATGTGGATCTGCTCCGGGGCAGGTGGGGATCGAACTCACGCGGAAGTGGCTTTAGCTTCTTAGTGCTGTGCTTTAACCCGTTGCGCCACCAGGGAGTGCCCTCAACTTTTTTTACAAGCTGAAATGAGATGATTGACTGTAATTGGAATAACTATTTCATTTTGACTTGTAAAAGCACATACAATCAAATTATGTGAAGTTCTGGGCTCTCGCTGGTAGCGCAGCGGGTTAAAGCGCAACACTACGAAGTGATCTGCAGCCACTACAGCCAGTAAAGTGACCCAGATAGGAGATGACCCACATGGCATGGCAAACCTCTCCTGACCTGCCAGCTGCTCCCCTCAGCAGTGTGTACATCTGCCTGTTCTGCTCCCTGCTCTGTCTCCAGTCCAGTGAATCCTCTCTGGACTGTACCTCAGGCCTGTACCCCAGTTTTTGTATGTATAAATAAATATTTTTTAAAATGTGTTAACTACTTATTCACAAATTTTATCCCTTGGTTCTCAAAATTCCATCAAAACAGCACTCACATATAAAATAATCTATGTTGCTTTAGCCTTGTTCTAGTGTCTCAACACAGCACTTCAAAGTATCTATTTCTGAAGCCATAACCTTTACAGAAATATATATTATGCAAGAACGCCCCTGGGTTTAAAATGCCTTGGATTCTTTTCAAATGCAGATGCAGCCCTAGCCACCATCCATACCCAGAACATATCATTTTGCAAAACAGAAGCTAAATATTAAAAAATAAACTATTTCCCCTTCTCCAGTCCTTGGCCACCACTCTTTCTTTGACTTCACTGCTCTAGGCACTTAAATGAATACACAGTATTTGTTCTTTTGTGACTGATTTAACATAATGTCAAGGTGTAGCCATGTTGTAGCATGTGTCACCCTTTTTAAGTCTGATTTTCAACCTTAGATATGTAAATATAAAGATAGATGCGCATATATATATATATATACATATGTACCACATTTTGTTTATCCATTCAACTGACAATGAACAAAAAATGTGTCTTGATTGCTTTTTTTTTTTAAGATTTATTTATTTATGGATACAGAACTGGGTACGGGTCAGAGGTTCAGGGATGGTGAGAGGCTTCACCACACACAGAGCGGGGAGCAGAACAGGCAGATAGATGAAGTACACTGCTGAGGGGAGCAGCGGGCGGGTCAGGAGGGGTCTGCCACGCCATGTGGTCACCTCTGGGGCAGGCGGGGATCAAACTCATGCGGAAGTGGCTTTAGCTTCTCAGTGCAGTGCTTTAACCGGCTGTGCCACCAGGGAGGGCCCTTGATTGCTTTTTTTAACAGTATTCCCTAAAAGCAATAACCCAACATTTTTCTAATCCTTCTCTTTAGTGTGAAGTTTTGTGTTTTTTTTTTTTCTACAGGACTAATAGTCATAAGAATTGTGAAGCAAGAGATGTATATTTTACTTTTGTAAAATGGGAGGACCATTGTGCACTCAGACTTGTCAGTTTCAGGAAAGACTAACCATGGAAGCTAAAAAGTGGAACTCCATTCCTTAAAACGGCAAGTGCACATGGGCAATCATCCAGGATACCCAGCCACATGCCTACCCTATTCTGAAGACCTCTCTTCTGCTGCTGTATTTTTATTCTTCAAGTGTTCAGCTGTTTGTCTTGGTAGTGACTCTACAACCAGTTTAATGTCATCTTCCAGCTGTTTCCAAAGGTCTCTAGGTTCACTGATGGTTAATCAAAATTATGCAGGCAATAATCCAGCAGACCTGAGTCAAGTATCTCTACTGCTCACCTATCAAAGGTGGAAAATTTGTTCTTCGCTTAATTTTGTTGCAACAACTGGTGTTCAAATCATGGAATGACTTTTTAACTGCCTTTTGATGTGGAGCTTGGACTTTACCTAGTAGATCAAAAGATAAATACTTTATGTAGTTGATTCTACACATAGTTCTTTATGTCTCATGTTTGTCTCAATAATTCACTGAGTCACTCAACAAATATTTTAGTACCTACTAATTGCAAAGTTCCACACTAAGCTCTTTATAAACATCTTTGCCAACTGGAGCTTATTTTCTGGCAGGGAGCAAAACGGTAAACATCACACAATATGCAAATTATCACACATAGGAAATGGATGGCTGCATTGGAAAAGTAAGAAATAGTGCAAGGGAGGTCAGGAATGAAGAGTGTTAAATACTAAAACACTGCAAATGGCATCTGAGCACAGATGTAAAGGAGGGGAATTCCAGGCTAAGTGTTCCAGGCAGAAGGGAAAGCTAATGGAAAGTACCTAAGGTGGGACTATGCCTACTTGTCCAAACAGCAAGTGTGGCTGAAGCTCTTGAAGTTTGAAATGATATGTCAGTTACTAACTTATTATCACTCAGCTTTAAATATACCTGCCAGTATATCATCTCTGATAAACAGCATTCCTTTAAGCATCTCTCTTTTCAGGTACCCTGTAAGTTGCATTTTCTCAGTAGAAATTGCTGGAGGGACATTGCAGGAAGAGGAGGTTTCTTGCAATTTCTGACATAGGAGTTGAAGTGGAATGGAGTTAAAGGGGTTAAATTAGTTGAGTGAATATAAGAACATCTGGTGGAACATGTTCTCAGACCCAGAAAGAGATAGCTGTAGGGTCATAGTGTTCACAATTTAAAGAGGTGCCCTGAATCCTACCTGGTCTGCAAATAGCTTGTCTGTGGGCCCAAGGATTACATGCCAAATAATTGATCCTTCTGCAAATCCTTTGTGCAGCCTGTCTCTTGCTCTGTAAGTCCACACAGTGCTGCTGGCAATCTGCAGTTCTATAATTGAGCTTCTTAACTGTTGAGTGCCAGTCGGTAGCCTGCAAACTCTGAGGACAAGAACTGAGATTATTTCTCTAAGTCTGGCCCATCTTTAGCAGTAAAATTGACTAATTTATAATTGACCTCTTTTCTCTGCTGCTGGTTATACTCTATCTAAATTGCCTGGGAAACTATAAGCCTCTCAAAAGCAGAGATTTGATGTTCTGCTTTTTTCATTACACAACTTGAAATTAAGTAGAGAATAGAAGGAAAAGAAATTCACTAAAAATTAAGTTCTCTGTGTTTTAAAATGTTATTTGAAAGGCCCAGATATTTTCTGGTGACATGTATTATATTCTTTCTAATTCTCTTTTCTATAATCATGGTAGTAAAAAAGGAGGGGAGGGTTTAAATCAGGAAACTTTAGCTGTGTTTCAATACGTCACCTCTTAACATAAAAATCAAGATTGAGATCAGTATTAAGAATATAAAACAGTCCAATTTAAGGTCAATGAAGACTCCCTTAACTCATAAAAAGGACACACAATAAAGGGTTGACTCAGAATAAATGATTCGATTCTGCACATTTCAAATAAAAGATAAGCACCTGGAATAGAACTTCTTGGAGTATCCTGCTTAATAAAAGTGTCTTTATATATAACTGGGTCTTTGGACTATGTCAGGTAGTTCAGACTAACAATATAATTTATGGGTATACGAGGTATTGCTCAATGATAGATCAGTTTGACTTCTAGAGAGGCTGGACAGAGAGTAACTAAGATTAGTCATACAGACACCAAAACTTAGGTAAGTTTCCCTGGTTGACACGTTGCTAGGAAAATGAAGTGCTGTCTACTGGGAGAGACATCAGGCTTGTGCCTGGTCTCTCTCTTGGACTCTGCCCTATATTCCTTTTGCCATTGCTGAATTTGTCTCCTTTCACAGTAAGAAACCAAAACCGTGAATAGATGAGCAACACACATTTTTGTGTGTCTTTCTAGCTTATTACTAAATTGGAGGATGGCCCCCAACACAAGATAATAGACAAATTTTGGCATGCAAAAAAGCTTTAGACAGTATCAATTCACTTAAATCCTATACATGTCTTGCCTAAACACTTTATTTTGGGGTCTGTGATTAATGCCTGCATTGAAAAATGAAGAGTCTCATTTAAATAAAGATCAGTGAAAGGATTAGGCAAGTTGAAAGTAGGTTCTCTAGCTAAAGGCTCAAGTAACTGGTTTTAAGAAGTTTGTTAACACGAAACATATTGTGTAGCACTGGAAATGATACAGATATGAATTCATTGTCATAAAAAATGTCCATGACAAACTGTTATGTGAAAAGTAGACTACAAAACAATGTATATGATGTGACCCCATTTTTGTTTAAAAAAAAGTTAAAAATTAAAATCCAGTGCTTGTGACTGTGTGATGATCTTAAACACTGTACCACAACCTGATGCAAGATTTTTTTAAGTTTAGCTGTTATCTACCAAAAACTTAAACACGGAGGTGGTGTTTTACCCGGTATTTACATGTACAGAGTTCCACAAACTTAAAAAGACACGTGTTCAGGAATGTGCAAGACAACAATGAGCTGTGGTTCACTTGTTTTAAAAAAATTACAAGAAAACCTTTTATTAATCTTCGCTAATCTTTCGCATATATATATATGTATATATGTAAGAGCCTTTCGAATCTATTCCTAGTCTTTATAAACAGAAATGAAAATAACTTATGTACGAGAAAATGCAATCAACCTGATCAGGCAAAGGAATCCAATTCATTGCAGGCAAGTAGGGCTGCAACTCGCTAGAAGGACAAAAGATGACCAACCAGGACTCCTAACCCGGGCTTTACGTAATCAAAGGCCACCACGGCCCACAAATACCATTACACAGACTGCGCCACCTGCACCGTTATTCCGTTATTCGGCCTCCAGCGGCCAGTCAAACCGCCAATTCGTGGTGACGCTAGACGTAGACGTGCTACGCCATGACATCAGAGCAAGATGGCTGCGCCCTGAAGACTTTGCTCCTGTAGCCTAAGTTTATGCGCCTTGCTAGCGTCAGGGTCAATATCCCACAGATTCTGCTGTCCTCCAACCATGTTCTCCCTCCGAGGTTGTAGTCGCTCGGTCGCGGCTTCACTAGCCAAACAGCACCTTCCATTGGCCCTATTCAATGCTGACAGCGCGGCTCCCCGCACTCCACACTTCGACGTGGTAGTAGTCGGCGGAGGACACGCCGGGAGCGAGGCAGCGGCCGCTGCCGCTCGGTGCGGCTCCCGGACTTTGCTACTCACGCACCGCGTGGACACGATCGGTGAGCGGCGTGGGGGGATGTGTAGCTGAGATAGCACGCAAGCTGCTGATCAACCCCTTCTCGTGCCGAACTGACCACCTCTTACCGAAATAATGACAATCCTAGCGTCGGTGGCTTTAAAAGCCTGATTTGTGTTCTGTAGGGATCTGGCGGGACTGGGACTAGAACTCTAGAGTAGCATTCTGCTATTCTGTGAACCGTCGATTGTGGCGTGGCGGTGCCGTGGGAAACTATAAGAATTCGTGCTGCTCGCACTGTGACCTAAAATTATTAGTAATCGTTTATAAAAAGACCGGTTTTTTTCCCCCCTCGATATTTTGTGGAGCCCTTTTGAAGAACGATGCTACTTTACCTTGGCATTCCTTATTTCTACTATGTGTGTGCCCTAATTTGTACTTAGAAACCCATAGTGCTTAATAAGCAATGGTGGAAAGACCATAATCAAAAGCTAGAGAGCTCTCATGATAGAGACTTGCTAAAACATTTTTTTGTAAATGATGCATGCTTATCTTTGCTCCTGCATTTGCTTTATTAAGGTACTTTTAATAAATCACATAATAAATCACAAAAATTGTATTCTGAAGTACTTTTTAAATATTACCACTAAGCTGGTAACTGTGGGGAATACTCATTGTTAATAGCAACTTAGGAGTGTCCGAAAGATTATACCTTGCTTAGTATACATTTCAGTGTTGTTTACATTTGCAGAAAAAAATAAATGGATGCCGCCTTTCATTAAAAAAAAAAAAATGTACCCAGCAAAATGCATTCTTGAGATAAGATGATCATTATATAGTTTAAGTAATGTAATCCTATAAGAAAAAAAGGGATTTCCACAAAACCCATATTTATATTCTTCTATTAACACAATAGTCTAATCTCAGCTCTCTTTACTTTAATAACTACATTTCGGAGAGAAATTAACAAACTACAGATGAGTTTTATCTTAAAATCCAAGTCATTTTTTAAGGTAATTTGATGTAGTGAAATATCGATCATTCCTACTGGAAATTAGCAAAGAAAGATAGTTTGGGCTTAAAAGATTGAACTTACATAGGAATACAAAATTCAAGAATTGACCTGTTGTGATTCGTATCATATCTGTTGTGATATCACAGTCATATCATCTGCTAATTATGAAATCAGACAGAAAGTCTTTTATACTAATGTGGGAAATAATGGCTTTTGGAAAACTGTTTTTGCCTTTTATTGCAAAATAGAAAAACTTTTTGAGATGGTTTATTCTGTGTAGTTCACCTATGCAATTCATGGAGATTTAACCCTCATTAAAGAGGTGGTTAGTTATTCTGAAGTTTAATCCAGGCTCCTTTACATACTGTTACCTTAGACAAAGGACAATTTATCTCATCTCACTTTCTCTGAAATTGAAATAATAGCCTTGACCTTGGCAGGTTGCTATAAAGTTTGAGGCATAAATACATGCAACTCATGGCCTATATTAAGTGTCAGGTGTTAACTATTATTTTACCATAAAGTTTCAACAGAGCGGGTTTACATTTTTTAATAAAGTAAAATATGGGCTGCTTTATATGTTTCTACTACTATTATCTACTGCAAATGCAGCAACCTTATGTTAGTAGGCTATATTTAAGAACATAGATGATCAATAGCCTTTATTACCCCAACTCCAAATGATTGGAATTGAGTGTTAACTTTCTGAAGGTCTATGTTGAGAAAGATTTTGAGGACTAAGCAAAAGACAGAAAGTATCCTATCAGACATTTATGCTGATAAAGAGAGAAGCTTCACATTTATACATATATTTCTTTGAGATAAAAAATTTTCAGCAGTTAAAAAAATGAATTCTTTGTATTTGACTTTAACAAATGTAAATTCTATAAATAGGGTATATAATATAAACTAATTCAGTGAAGTGCCAAGAAGTTATTTAGTTGGGAGAAGTGATAGAATTTCAAAATAATTTATTCTTAACCATGAGTATGGATGGAGGTTTAATGTGTAAGAAGACTCATTTCTTTAATGAAAGTTTGAGGAAAATGTCAAGAATAATGGGATTCGTAGGGTTTGTTTTCTTTTTTTAGTTGATATGTAATGAGAGTTTAAAAGTCTAAGTCATCCTGGTGGCACAAGGGATTAAGCTGCAGCAATATGAAGCTATCCACAGCCACTGCAGCATGAGTTGGATCCCCAGCCAGAGAGGTGACCCACATGGCGTGGCAGACCTCTCCTGTTTTGCCTGCTGCACCCCTCACAGTGTATCTCAGCCGATTCTTTACCCCCTCTGTCTCTGGTGAATCCTCTTGCTACCAGCACCCCAGCTCTTGTATGCATAAATAAATAAATCTTAAAAAAAAAAATGGCTAATGGCCCTCCCTGGTGGTGCAGTGGGTCAAAGCACAGCACTGTGAAGCTAGCCGTGGCCACTTCAGTGTGAGTTTGAGCCTGGCCAGGGAAGTAACCCCTCCTGTCTCACCCACTGCTCCCCTACTGCCCTCAGCAGTATGCTTGGGTAAGCTGCCTGTTCTGCTCCCCACTGTCTCTGGTAGGTCCTATCATTGCCCCCATACCTCTAGCCTGTACCCCAGATCTGTATGTATAAATAAATAAAGAAGTCTTTTTTTAAAAAAAAAAAAAAAAAAAGCTAAATCATGTTGATAAGTAGAAATTTCTAAAACAGGGATCTCAACTTTAGATACTTCAGAGGCCAGATACATACTTAAAGTCTGTAAAGCTAAGTAAATATAAAACAGTGGTGAGCTAGAGAATAAATTTTCATCAGTTTTTTCATTTGTTTATTTTTTTTAAAAAGGCTTTGTTTACATATTATACATCACAGCAAGTGGTTTGGGTTATGATTGCTAATATAAAAGGGTCTGAAATGTGTGCTCTCTAAATCTGTGAAGTGGGTCAGTTATAAGTACCAATAGCAGGCCCTCTGCAGCCACTGCAGCATGAGTTGGATCCCGGCCAGGGTGGTGACCCACATGGCGCAGCAGGCCTCTCCTGTCTTGCCCTCTGCAACCCGCAGCAGTGTATCAGTCAATCGGCCTGTTCTGCTCTCCTCTCTGTCTCTGGTGAATCCTCTCACCGCCCACACCTCTGACCTGTACCCCAGTTCTTGTATGCATAAACAAATAAATCTTTAAAAAATACCTCTAAAAAATAAATAAATAAATACCAGTAGCACAGAATGATAGAGGGGGATGTCATTGGGCGATGTCATCTCACATTCCTCAACACAAAGCATCATAAAGAGAGTGTTTACTAAAGTAAAATTGTATATGAAATGAAGAAGAAAAAAGATAAAGCTATCATTCCTATTGTTACAGCAAGAAACAATTACAGAAAATCAGATAACTTGGCAAAGTAACAGCTTATCAAGTTGGTAAATCTAGGAACTAAGCCAGATCTCTCTCATGCTGATCATCTCAGAACTATGCAGCCTCCCTGTGGTGATAATAAAAATTTTTGGAGAGCTTGATAGTGGCCTTGTTGCCTTGTGTATGTTGACACAGATTTCCTACCTCCTGTAAAATCCTTTGAGGTAATTAACATTAATTTATACCTCTAATTAAGACAGGGGACCTTAAAGGGTAAGTATAAAATAGGTATTCTACTTTCAAGAAGTTTGCAGTTTAATCATTTCTGCAAAATGTATTTGGCATTTGTGGACGACTTAACAGTGAACAAGGGATTTAAAAGTATGCTTAAAAGGATACGCTTATAAGTATGCTTGATTTGAGAAGGTTTTGTTAGGTAAGGATTTCAAAACCACATCTATAGGAAAAGTAACCTAATGAAATAGTAAAACTATGTTTCAAGGAAAGGATTCAAGAGAAATTATAGGCAAGGGTTATCTTTCAGGATACCTTGAATAACTCTTATGTCATTGGGACTTTGTGATTTTTTTAAATAGTGTATTTTCAAGTTTTTTAAAATACCCTATGAGATGAATACAGCTCTAGTCACAGATATTTCCCTATTAAACACTCACTATGTGCAGGTTGCTGTATGTTTATTTTGTTTGTGACTGCTCTTAGGTCAGATGTCCTGTAATCCTTCCTTTGGTGGCATTGGAAAGGGGCATTTAATGAGGGAAATCGATGCCTTGGATGGCCTGTGTTCTCGAATCTGTGACCAGTCTGGTGTACATTACAAAGTGTTAAACCGACGTAAAGGACCAGCTGTTTGGGGTCTAAGAGCTCAAATTGATAGGAAACTCTACAAACAGAATATGCAGGTAAGACTAGAGCATGAATACAGGAGATTGTAGTGATAGTTTAACTGTCATGGTGTTAAGAGAACTTGCATTCTCTTTTCACAGAAAGAAATCCTAAATACCCCACTGCTTACTGTTCAGGAGGGAGCTGTTGAAGACCTCATTCTTACAGAACCAGAACCGGAGCATATGGGAAAATGTCGTGTCAGTGGTGTTGTTTTGGGTATGTACTGGTTATAGATATTGAATATCAGACTGCTGTGGAAAACTTATTTTAGAGCAGAATGTGTAGATGTTTTGTTTATTTGAGGAAACTGTGCTTTTACTTTACACGGAAAACTGTTTCAACTTTCAGCACTCTCCATTTCTGGTACTTCTTCATCCTAAATTGAAACTGCTCATTAAATAACTCTCCATTACCAAAAAAATAAAGCTCCATTTTTTTATAATGTAGATGTGTCTGTAACAAAATCTTTACATGCAAATTTCAGTTATTTCCCTTATTTTCAGTCCCAAACTTCATTTCAAAATCTTCTCAGTTCTCATTCACTTTTCCAATTTTATAAGCCTTTGCAGGGATTGCATTTTCACCCTCCATCAGAGCTCCAGCGCCAGTGCCTTATAACTTCTGTTTTGTATTCCCTTCGCATTCCCTCCTTACCCCCACGGATACCAGTATATTGCCATAGTCTTAAGAATTATTTTTGCTGTACTTTGCCAGTTCGTTTTCTTTGGTTATTTATAGTCCACAAATGAGTGAGAATATCAGGTAACTTTCACTTTCCAGGTTATTTCATTTAGCATATTCAAGATCATCCATTGTGTCTCCAAGGACACTATTTCAGCCTTTTTAATAGTTGGAGTATTGCATTGAATACATATTTCACAAAATTTCTTTATGCAGTCACATCTGTCTCTAGGAATTTGGATTCCATGACTTGGCTATTCTGACTAATGCTGCTGTGAGCATAGGTATGCGTAAATCCTTTTGTATTAAAGTTTTCAGATTTTTCAGATTCTTGATTCTTCTTTCTTCTGCTAGATCAGTTATCACTCTTCAACTACTTTCTGCCAAAGTGAAAGCACTTTTTTTTTTTTGAGGTAACACTGGTTCATAAATACTATATATGATTTAGGGGAATAAATTTGTACCTCTTCAGATGAATGGAAATTTCTTATCTTTTGACAAGTTCTTTTCCATACTCTTTTGTGCCTTTATTTCATTTTCTTGGCATTTCAGGAAGGAGAGCAAATTATGTGAGATAGTTTGTCACATTTAATCAAAAGTCTCAAATTAACTTGAAAAAGTAAGATTAACTTTGTAATTCTGATATGATTTTAGGAATATGAATTGGATAGTCTGAATATTTTTTGGTTCTTGAAATTGATAACAAATAGCCTTTTTACTCATTAAAAATTCTTTCTCAGATCTTGAAAGAAAATTTTTCTCTAATGTAAAATAATCACATTGTGGTTTAATACTTGGTAACAGAACACAATTTTTTCTCTTTCCTACCACTTAGTGGATGGAAGCACAATATATGCAGAGAGTGTGATTCTGACTGCTGGGACCTTTCTGAGAGGGATGATTGTAATTGGATTGGAGATGCATCCAGCGGGTCGGTTAGGAGATCAGCCTTCCATAGGATTAGCTCAGACTCTGGAGAAATTGGGGTTTGTTGTGGGAAGACTGAAGACTGGGACTCCACCCCGAATTGCCAAAGAGTCCATTAATTTCAACATTCTAAACAAGCAGATACCAGATAACCCATCTGTACCATTCAGCTTTATCAATGAAACAGTGTGGATTAAGGTAAGATAATTTATGTGAACGTGAACTGATATTGGCTAGTAACCACAGGATATAACCTAACTTTTCTTTGTGTTTGTAATTCATTCTATGTCACTGTTACTTAGGTGCAAAAACAGTGGAATCTGGATAGTTCCTTAGTCTTTCATAATTTGACCAGTTAGATGTTTCCCCAAAAGTTCTTAAATTTCATTGCTTTTAGTAATTTTGCCTGCTTAAAACCTTTGTCAACAATTTCAGTTTCAATGAAACGTTGCAATACTATTTAAATAAACTCCTACAAACCATTAAATTCACCCTTTGTTAATATTTTTTCTATATGTGTACATATAGAGAACCCTGTAGGTCATATAGATGTGTTTATATATTTTTTAATGCATAAATATATAGTCATTTAGTCTTGCTTTTTCTAAGAAACATTCAGTAACACATTGTGGAAATCATGAACCTTTACCTCTAAATATTTTTACTCATTTCTCAATTAAGCACAGAGACATTTTATGTTAACCTTAACCTTAATGCAGTGATGATATTCAGGGAATTTCACAATGATATAGTGCTGTAATTTAGTATAAAGTCCATCATCAGAATTTTACTGATTGTCCTAACATTGTACTTTTTAGCACTTTCCCCCTATTTAGGAGCATATATTGCATTTAATTGTCATTTCTCATTAGTGTGAAACAGTTTCTCAATCTTTCATGATAGTGATATTTTTGAGAGTACAGACTGATTGTGCCTATCTTTTAAATTAAAAAAATATATGTGTGTGTATTTAGAATTAAGGACTAGTAATTGGTGATCCTAGTTTCTGGTGAGTGTTAATCCTGATGAGTAGTTCCAAATAATATATTATTTTGAATAAGCCATTTTTACATTTTTGCTTCGGCAAAATGTAAATTGGGATGGTAATATTTTTTTCTAACTTTCTGTTAAAATTTTTCAAAGTTACAAAAAGTAGTTAAAAATAGCACCATGAATCTCTGTGTCCATCTTCAAGCTTCAGTAAATAGCATTTTGGCTTTCTTGTTTCATGTTTCCTCCTCAAAACTATTCTTGCTGAGTTTGAAAGCAGCAATCTCAGAATTATATCATTTCACTTACAAATAATTATGCATATGTTTTTAACAGATTAGAGCTTAGTAAAAATCAGTGAATCGTTTGTGCATAGTTTAATGTGTATAATATTAAGTTCATGTCCTTTGTGGGATTTATTTGAGTAAGTGGCAGGCTAGTAGAGAAGCAAAATAGTATTGTAACTAGTTCCTATGTTTTAGCCAGAAGATCAGCTTCCATGTTATTTGACTCATACCAACCCTAGAGTGGATGAGATTGTCCTGGAGAACCTTCATCTGAACAGTCATGTTAAAGAAACTACAAGAGGACCTCGGTAAGGACAAAATATCAGTGCTCAGTTACTTTAAGGATTGATATAAACATTCTTTGGTTTGTTTATTCAATTTTTTAATGTCACTGTCCTACTCTAGATACTGTCCCTCCATTGAATCAAAGGTTTTACGTTTTCCAAACCGTTTACATCAGGTTTGGTTGGAACCTGAAGGAATGGATTCTGACCTCATCTACCCCCAAGGGCTGTCTATGACTCTACCAGCTGAGTTACAAGAGAAAATGATCACATGCATCAGAGGCCTGGAGAAAGCTAAGATGATTCAGCCAGGTAAAGAGGACCACCTCTGCCCTTCAGTTTGAGTGCAGGTCACATCTTATACTAGTCGTGATTGCTTAGAGCCTCAGGAGATAAAGCCCAACATCTCTGCAGTTGGTCTTCCTTTTTGAAGAACATTTAATGATAATTTTTACATCTCTACCTTGAGGCAAACCCAGCTCTGTTTTAACTTACTTTGTGCCACTTATCCTTTGGTCAGGTTATGGTGTTCAGTATGATTACTTCGACCCCCGTCAGATCACTCCTTCTCTTGAGACTCATTTGGTGCAACGGCTCTTTTTTGCTGGACAGATAAATGGCACTACTGGTTATGAGGAAGCCGCAGCTCAAGTAAGAGACTGTTCGAATGTTGCTGTAGGCAAAAAGGGTGTTCCTTCTTTGAACCTGTTATGTTAGCTGTAAATATCTTAGATGCAACACATAATTAATAGAAGATATTTCTGTTTCTAGGGATATGGAAATGGTCTCTTTGTACAATGTGATTTTAAAAGTGTGACTTACTTTTTTTCTGAATTCTATGTCTGATTTTGATTTTGATTAGCATTATTGTGTTGCTTCTGAGGCTTTTCTTAAAAGATTTAGCACAGGGATTACAACTGAGATGGAAAAAGGCATAAAATGATGTAAAATAAGCTATTATGAAAATTTAGTTATTTTAACATAACTTCTTGAAAAATTATCTTTATTATTCCTTTTAAGTAGAAAAATTTTTTAAACGATTTATTTATGTGTGCATATAGAACTAGGGTATAGGCCAGAGGTGCAGGGGTTGAGAGGATTCACCAGAGACAGAGTGGAGAGAACAGGTAGATTGACTGAATGAAATACACTGCTGAGGGGAGCAGCTGGTGAGACAGGAGGTCTGCTGTGCCATGTGGGTCACTTCCTCTTGTCCCCCACCCCCATCAAACCTGTGCTGCAGTGGCTGCAGACAGCTTCATAGTGCTGGGCTTTAACCTGTTCTGTCACCAGGGAGGGCCCTGGGGAGTTATTTTTACTTCTAAGTGGAAAATGGCTAGAAAAGTCCTACAGATGGTGTTTTTGTTCTTTTTTTATTTTACAGCATTGTGATCACAGGTGGATTTAACTGAGAACTATAAATCAGAGACATTCTGCAGGGGAAGGGGAGAGGGAGGGATCAAAACAGGGGAGGAAGTGCACAAAGGACTATGGTGATAACGCACAGGTGAATTGGTGTGGGAAATTCTATGGGCACTACATCTGAGAAGAGAAAGAAAACATTGTACAAAAGTGAACAATGATGTAAAATATAAAATAAATTGTTTTTTAAAGGATTGTCCCACTTAGGGAATCAGGAATATTAAATACTTTGAAAGCAATGAATCTTACCCATAATCTCTTTCTAGATATAGATCATATCTTCTGTCTCTGGTCTTCCCTTTTGGACAGTGTGCCATGCTGTTTTTTTCCAGGTAGAGTTCTGAATAGGATAGCTCTTTGTTCAGTTCATAATGGCCTTTTAACCATTTCAGTCCTCTTGTAGGGTGTGGTAGCTGGAATCAATGCAAGCCTCCGGGTCAGATGCAAGCCTCCTTTTGTTGTTAGCCGAACAGAAGGCTACATAGGAGTTTTAATTGATGACCTCACCACCCTGGGCACCAAGGAACCGTACCGCATGTTTACCAGCCGAGCAGAATTCCGTTTGTCACTGCGCCCAGATAATGCTGACAGCAGGCTCACTTTTCGAGGTAATTCTTAGGGGTATCCTGCAACCAAATAAACTCCTCTTTAAACCCTCTCATTATATTCTCTCCCTCCTTCTATAGGGTACAAGGAAGCTGGCTGTGTATCCAAACAAAGATATGAAAGAGCTTCTTGGATGAAATCTTCTTTAGAAGAAGGCATTTCTGTGCTAAAATCTATTGAGTTTTCAAGTTATAAATGGAAACAGTTAATCCCAGAGGCTTCTATAAGTACTAGCAAAAGTCTTCCTGTCAGGTATGCATTTGTAGTTTTTAAATACGGGCTTTTCTCACTTTTTATGGAAAAATGTGCTCATTTCAGAGACATTACCTATAGACTCCTACCTACACATTTTAAATGAAGGTAGCTTTTTCTTGGCTTCTTTTCAGAGTTCTTTAAATGAAATTTATCTTTTTATTCTATATTAGAATAAATATGATTCTAAGTTATTATTTTTATTTTTTATATAATCAATCTCTGTGGCTCCCATTCAGTGCTTTTGGCCTTTTTTTTTTTTTTTTTTTTTAAGATTTATTTACTTATGCATACAGAACTGGGGTACAGACAGATTCACCAGAGACAGAGTGGGGAGCAGAACAGGCAGATGGACAAAGTACACTGCTGAGGGGAGCAACAGGCGAGACAGGAGAGGTCTGCCGCACCATATGGATCACTTCTGGGGCCTGGAATAGAACTCTCACTGAAGTGGCTGCGTCTAGCTTGCAGTGCTGTGTCCTAATCTGTTGTGCCATCAGGGAGGGCCTCTTTTGGCTTTTGTAAGAGAGGTGGTTGCCTACTTTCTCTTACAGGCATGGAGCAATTACAGTGGCTCATTTTTTTCTTGAACTGTGTTAAGGAAACTTCTGATTAAGCAGAGGGTCATAAATTCTTTGAACCTGCTATACTTGGGGGGAGGGGTTGTTTCTGTTTTATCATTTTGGTTATATGGATTCTGGGTCTAACTGACAATTAATGTAGAGCTTTTTTTTTTGCTTTGAAGATAAGTTCCCAAGGATCTTACATAAATTCAAAATCTGCCTATTTTACCACTGTTTTCTCCTATTTAAAAAACAATGAGCTAATTAGGGTGGGGGGATACTCAGCATAAATCTACAAATCTACAATCATTATAGCTTAGAAACACATGCGGTGGCAATTTACCTGCAACTGTGTCTCTAGTTTATTTTTCCATTTTTAAAAAGACTTGTAGATTTAGTGCTCGCTTTGGCAGCACATATACTAAAATTGGAACGATACAGAGAAGATTAGCATGGCCCCTGCGCAAGGATGACACGCAAATTCGTGAAGCGTTCCATATTTTTAAACACTGATTGAAAAAGATACTTATACCCCCATGTTTATTGCTGCTTTATTTACAATTGGAAAAACATGTAAGCAGCCCAAATGCCCAAAAGTAGATGACTGGATAAAAAAGATGTGGTACATATACACAATGGAATATTACTCAGCAACCAAAAAAGAGAAACACATGTCTTTTGCAGCAACTTGAATGGAGCTGGAAAAGATCATGCTTAGTGAGATAAGCCAGAAAAAGAAAAAAAAATACTGGATGGTTTCACTCATAGCAGGAGTATAATGGACCAGGCGAGAAAATATCAAAAATAATGAAAAACCATATACCAGAGACATTTTGTGGGGGTGGAGTGGGGAATGGGATCAAAAAGGGGGGTAGGGAGAGAAATGCATGGGACTATGGTGGTGGCATACGGGTGATTTGGTGATGGGAAACCCGCGGGGATTACAATCGAGATGGAAAAAAAAAAATGTGCAAAATGATGTAAAAATAAACTTTTGGAAAAAGAAAAAAAAAAGACTTGTAGATTTAAATCTATCCATTTTAATGATGCTTTTTATTCTCTTATTTTTCCTAGTGTTAATAAATGTTTGTGTATTTGCAGCGCTCTAGATGTTCTGAAATATGAGGAAGTTGACATGGAATTGTTGGCCAAGGCTGTTCCAGAGCCCTTGAAGAAGTATGCTAAAACTAGAGAACTAGCTGAAAGACTAAAAATAGAAGGTAAAAAGTATGCTTAAGATGCTTATATGTTCTCTTTACATATGTGCAGATCATGAATGCACAGCTGACCCCTTGAAAGTGCTGTGCCAAGAGGAGCATGATTACCATAGCAGGCTCTGTGGAGGCAGTGCCTGGGTTTCCAGCTGGCAGCATCATGGCAACAAGTGAGAGCTTGTAGGGACTGCAGAACCTCAAGCTGCAGCCCAGACCCACTTAGTGAGCATCTGCATTTTTATTTATTTATTTATGCACATACGACCTAGGGTGTAGGCCAGAGGTATTGTGTACTGTGGGGGCTAAGAGGATTCACCAGGGACAGAGTAGGGAACAGAACAGGTAGATTGACTGTAATATACTGCTGAAGGGAGCAGCAGGTAAGACAGGAGAGGTCTGCTGCACCACGTGGGTCACCTCCCTTGCCTAGGATCCAGCTCATGCTGCAGTGGCTGCAGCATAGCTTCCTGGTGCTGCAGTTCAACCCCTTGCACCACCAGGGAGGCTCCAGCATCTTCATTTTAACAGGATTTCCAGGTAATTAGTATATACATTTCAAGCCTGAGAAGTGCTACTCTAGAAGGACATTACTACTGAAAAAAGTCACATTAAATGTTGGTTTAAAACAGGTTTTGATTTACTTTTTTTCTAAGAACAAAATGTTTTATAATCAAACATTGCTGGATTATGTTTCTAATTTCACGTCTAAGTAAAAACTTTATGTGTTACCATCTAAGAACTCTACTCTTTAAAATCATAGCTTCAAATGGACATAATTCAGAAAATCATTTTCTTTGAGAAACATCCTGTCTTTAGGACTAAAATTTAAATGACAGCCTCTTGAGAGCATTTGTTCCACTAAAGTTTTCACTGAAAGAAATTTATTTTTGCTTTTAATCTTCTAGATTTTTGAAATGAAAGGATATATGATAAACTACCGAATAGAATGTTGCGGTTACTGTACAAGATATTCCTTCTCTGTAATCTTAGCTTCAGTTCCCTCATTCATAAAAAACCCACTTACCCCACCCATTTTGTGCTGAGATAAGTGTTGAATGAAACAATGTATACCAAGGCTCTTTATAATTTGTAAATATATATATATAAAAATATAAGTTAACATAATCTGAATGTCATAATTTTGTTCACCAGCCACTTATGAATCGGTGTTGTTTCATCAGCAACAAGAAATAAAAGAAGTTCAACGAGATGAAGCCCTCCAGTTGCCAGAAGACCTAGATTATTTAACACTTAGAGATGTTTCTTTATCCTGTGAAGTTAGAGAGAAGCTACATTTCAGTCGCCCTCAGACGGTAAGAAAACAGGTAGTGTGTAGAAAGAGCCAGTGCTTTCAGTTTTTAAACCTAGATTTAAATAGCTACCTAATACTTTATTTCATCACAAAATGCTTCTTATTTTCAAATATCTCTTTCTATGACAGGTGGTATGTTTTTTATGAGAAATGATAAGCTTATTCTAAATAAATAACTCGAAGTCAAGAATTGGATTGATTGTAATTGTTCTCAAGTCCCAGTTATGTGTTAAACCTTCAGTGCCGTCTAGTATGTGTATATGTCCTAAAAGAAACTACAGTAGTTTAAAATGTGATATGTATCAGTGGTTTTCAAATCACTACTTGGATCTATCCCAAATAGTAATCCTAAAGGTTCTACAGTGTTGCCCTGAGAGCTACTAGTAGGAAGTGAGGAGCCAAAGATATCCCTACTCGAATACTTCAGCCTAAATATTGTATATGTGTGTGTACCTGCATGTCTGTAAGCAAGAAGTATAGTATTGGGCTCCCGATGACAAATATTTAAATATATATAGGCTATACTTATTGATTCTGACATTTTATAACATCCCTGAAATTGAGTTATGCTTTCACGGTGTATCATAATTTAATAGCCAGTGTTTATTTTAATATTGGTTCCTAAAGTAAAGGTACTCCTTTCTTCATTCCTCCATCCCTCCCTAACCCTCCCTTGTTCTTTCTATTCCTTTGCATTTTTACTTTGTGTTGTGGTAACATTGGTTTACAACACGGTATGTGATTCCGAGGTGTAGAATCACACCCTTCAGATATATGTTACCACACAACATCTACCACTATGTTCCCATACCATAGACAATTGGGCCCCTCCAAACTTTGCTCACAACCCTATCCTAAAGGGCCATGTTAACAAAAATCTGACCTGTAAAAATTTTTGAGAAAAACTTTTTTTTTAAGGGAAGAGTGATTTTATCAATATGTATGGAATTAGTTATTAGTCATCATGGAAACTAGGCAAATAGACCTTAAATTTTAACTCTAGTTCATTTTGAGTTATGTTTTTATGCATAATCATGTGGAACTGCTCAAGGTAATAATAGTATCCAAATTAAAAATAAAATTAAAGATTCAATTCTTTGGTGAGATTAGTTTCATTCCAAGTGTTTAACAGCCACGTGTGACTAGTGCCTACCATATTAGTCCAGTGCATTATTATAATGCTGGTATTGCAGAAAATTCCATTACCATAGATACTTCAGTACAGCCATCAGAGTTCACAACTCCTTTTCGACTATTCTTAAAATTCAAGAGTCTGCCAGCATTTGCTACAGACTGCAAAATGAATTGAATGTGCTTAAATAGCCTTTATACTAGTTGGAATGGATATTTATACATTTTACTGTAAAAATATATACTAGTGAGGTTGATTATAGGGTCCTCTCAACATGGTGTTAACGTCAATGAAAAGAAAAAATAAGAACACTAGCATCTGTTACTTCTGTGATCTTGTACAAGTCATTTAAATTACTCTAATCCTTGGTTTCCTTGTTTGTAAAATAAAAAATTAAAAGTAATCACATTTCCTTTATCTGCCTTAAATATGGTACTATATTAAGATAGCAGTTTGAAAATATTTTAGAAATTATGATATTCAAATTAAGAGGGGAATAGACATGATTTGATTTGTCATAGCTCACATACTTTTGTGGTTTTAATCCTTAGATTGGGGCTGCTAGTCGTATACCTGGAGTGACACCTGCTGCCATCATCAATTTGCTAAGATTTGTGAAGACCACTCAGCAAAGACAGGCAGCTATGAATGAATTGACCAAGTCTGAACAAAGCTTATGTGATAAAGACAGATTTGAAGAGAGACAGTTATAGATAATGGGATAAGAAGTATTTACAATGTGCATATGTTAAAATAACCTTAGATTATTATGGGCTTGTCATTAGTTTATGAAAAGGATGAAGATTATAATTGTCCTGGAAATGCCAATTGAGGTGTCTGGCCTTTTTGTACATCTGAAAAATAAGTAATAAACTCATAAATTGTACTCTTAGGTGCTTTAATTCATGAGCCTATTGATAAGAATTTGTGCTGTTCATCAAAGAGAGATAGCGTGAACCCAAATTAAAGTCTTATCTTTCAACCTGTTTTGAAAGCTAGTAGGTTTGTGCTCAGTTAAGTTAGGAAGCAATTTCAAAAACTTCACTATTTACACTATGTTAACTTATACAAAGTTATCTCAAAAGAATATTTTCCAGCAACTTACTACAGATTATTATGCCCTAGGGAAAAATCAATTGAAATTGGGCCCTTCCTGGTGGTGCAAGGGTTAAAGTCTCAGTACTATCAAACTATCACCAAGCCTTCAGCCAAGAGGGCCAGGGAGTTTGGCCTGAGTTTGATCTCCAGCCAGGAACTAACACACATGGCACAGCAGACCTCTCTTTGTCTTGCCCACTGTTCTCAGCAGTGTATTTCAGTAGATCACCTGTTATACTCCCCACTCTATTTCTGATGAATCCTCTCACCACCCGCACCTCTGGCCTATACCCCAGTTCTTGCATGCATAAGTAAATAAAAATAAAACTTTAAAAAGGCAAATGAAAATGTAGCCTTACCCTATCCAGTTACCTCATTGAAATTCCCCAATGAATGGTGATAATAGTCTCCGACAGAAGTTAGAACAAATTTGTGATTCCTGACTTGATACAGATCACCCTGCTTAGTAGGAAAACTAGGTACTAAAGTTCATTTCAACAGGAACACCAAAATAGAAAACAGGAGACAACTAAGAAACTATGCATTTGTAAAATCTGGTTTGAGGAGGGAGGGAATAAATTGTCCCACTTCCAACTCAAAGGAGAACAAGGTGCAAATTAACTTGTCCCAAGTTCAGGTTCATTGACACCAGCAGCTTCTACCAGGCTGTGCCACCTAAGTTCGTCTTCAGCAAGATCACTTGTATACCTGATGTGCACAGATAGGGGTAAGTGCAATAGTACATGTAAAACACAACATAACTTGATGATAAAAATGTTTTAAAATTAGTATGCAGTGATGGTTGCACAGTTCTGTGAAGAGACTAAGGACCATTGCATTATACTGTTAAACAGTTGAACTTTATGGCATATGAATTAGATTAAAAAAAAAATAGTATTTTAAAAACTAAAAGAATTCGGCCTTCCCTGCTGGCGCAGCGGGTTAAAGCACAGCACTGAGAATCTAAAGCCGCTTCCGCATGAGTTTGATTCCCGCCTGCCCCTGGCAGACCTCTCCTGATCCGCCCGCTGCTCCCCTCAGCAGTGTACTTCATCCATCTGCCTGTTCTGTTCCCCGCTCTGTCTCTGGTGAAGCCTCTCACTGCCCCTGAGCCTCTGGCCTGTACCCCAGTTCTGTATGCACAAATAAATAAATCTTTAAAAAAAAAAAAAAACTAAAAGAATTCTATGATTGGTGAGTCCTTGAGCATAATTCTTAAACCTGGCTGGACACCAGAATTCCCAGTAAAGATTGTGAAAGTCTGTGCTGGCCCAGGAACCTAGAATACAAATAATCTATACAGTTGATTAAAGTACTAGAGCAGTTCAGCTGCAGAGAAAACTGTGAATTCAAGTCCAGAGTAAAATGATTCTACCTTCCAATGATAATTTTTGGATCAGATAAATTTTTTAAATGTAAGTCCACTCGAATGCCTGTCTGGATAAGTATAGACTTAATGAAACCTATGTTTTTATGCTATGGAGAAAGGATGCAGTTATTTTTACCTAGTACCTCATTTTGACTGTCACAGGCCTAAATCAGCATTTTTCAGACTTCTGGCTGCAGTTTGAAAGTAATTAAATAAATACTTTTGACATAACTTTTTTTTAAAGATTTGTTAATTTATGCATACAGAACTGGGGTACAGGCCAGAGGTGCAGGGGCAGTGAGAGGATTTACCAGAGACAGAGTGGGGAGTAGAACAGGCCGACTGACGAAGTACACTGCTGAGGGGAGCAGGGAGCAGGTCAGGAGAGGTCTGCCACGCCATGTGGTCACAACCAGGGTGGGAATCAAACTTGCACTGAAGTGGTGGCTCACTTTCAGTGCTGTGCTTTAACTTGTTGCACCACCAGGGAGGGCCCTAAATACAATTTTTAAAATCACAGGAGATACTGTTTGCTGAAGCTTTTGTCCTAGTAATTCATGTCAAAGAATATTTCAATTAAGATGCTTATTTTTTCCAGTATTTTATCTCTCTATGTATGTCCTATAAGAGGTGGCAACCATACCAGGCAGAATTTGTGCCTTGCAATTGAAAATGTCTTAGATGCAAAAAAAAAAAAAAAAAAACTAATTGTTTTGGGCTTAGAAAACCTCAGTAAATTTAGGATTCTTTTATATCTGTGTATTCCTCAAAGTAAGATTTTCTCTAAAAATTGTTTCTAAATTTACAGTAACATGCAAGTTGTTGGTTATGAATTTCAGGTATTTTAACCTTACAAAACCTTTCTGTCACTTTCAGTTGATAATTTCCTGCTAAGGGCTGAAGGCCCTTCACTGGATGAAAAGTTTCTCTGTCATTGCAGTGCTAACTCAACCCAAGAGTTATCCCAGAGTTTAGAAGCTACATGGTAGGGGAATTTAAGCTGTATTTCACTTTGAAGAGCATTCTCTGAAGATTTAAAATACTTTCCACATACTTGAAAACAGTAATACTTTTCTGGTGTTCCAGTGTTTGCTAGGCTGGTAATTTTTTCAAACCAATGCCTTATAATTAATTCATTTTTACTCTTTTTTAGAGTTGGTCTACACCCCTTTAAAACAACACAAATTTAAAAGAACATATCAAGATACATAAAAATCATACTTCCAAAAATTAAAGCCAAACATTTCAACATTTCTAAGATATACTACATTTAGTATTAGACCATACTCTGTGTGTATGGGGGGGAGGGGGTTTCAAGCAATGAAAAAAATGCTTTCTTACCCAACCATAACTGAATAAAAACCATTTCTTATTAGACATTTATTGAGTTGCCAGTCCTATGTAGAACCCTATAGGAAGCTGAACATAAAAATACAGAGAATCAATGAAGAAAGTATGACAAAAGGCTAACAGGAGGGAATGAAGTTTCAGGCTGGGCCAAATGGTTCCTTTGTTGCAGTGATATAGATATATCCTCTACACCTAAGTGATTACAACTCAGGCCACAGAACATTGTAAGTATCCTTGACAGAAAGCTGAGAGAACTACTTCCTCATATTTGGGTGGCTTTGGACAGCACAGAAACTCAAATTGCTTATGTGGCAACTTAACGGTTAATCACAAAACCAACTAGGATATTCCCTCAATCACATGATTTTACTGAAAATTTAACCAAGTTGAATACTTTATGGTCTTTCTTTTGCTATTAGCCATCTGGTACTTGGTCTCTGGAAACCACACTTGCAGGGTCACACCACACCGACTTCCGTTGAGCTTTACTGCCTGGTACACCCACTGGAATGAATAAAACTACCTATTTTTGACTTATGCATGTCTGTTTAAAAATCTGTTTTTAATGGTGAATACCCGACACTTACAAATTTGTATGATAGTTTAATGAAAATGTTAACGTAAAATAAATCACCTATTTACATATAAAAATGATTATTCTTTATACAATCTAGTAATTTTATTTAGATAATGTCTCAAAGAGATCGTGGGCCTTCCCTGGTGGCACAGTGGGTTAAAATGCAGCATTATGAAGCTATCTGCAGCCAGTGTAGCACTAGTTCAATCCCTGGCCAGGGCCAGGGAGCTGACCCACATGGTGTGGCAGACCTCTCCTGACCCCGTCGCTGTTCACCTCAACAGTGTATTTCAGTAGATCTGGCTGTTCTATCCCCACTTTGTCTCTGGTGAATTCTCTTACTCCACTGCACCTCTCATCTGTACCCTAGCCTTGTATGCGTAAATTAAAAAAGATTGTGTTAAAGGCAATATCCAGACTGCATATATAGTTACTTTGATCTGTAGTAAGCTGAAAGTTTTTGAGTTTAGCTTTATCTAACCCCTTGTTTGGTTTCCTTTCCATAAACAAACTAACCCTTGAAAACTAACTCTAGAACTGAGGAATCAAAGGGAGAGGGGGTAGAGCAGGGTTGAGAACAAAGTTGGGAGGGATCACTGTGGACTATGGGGATGAACTGTGGGTGATTTGGTGGTAGGTGTGGTGTAGTAACACCACCTCAAGGGGGAGATGCTATACCTCTAAAACACAATGCTGTAAAACCACTTGCCTCAATAAAAATAAGAACTATATAAATTCAAAAAGCAAGCTCAGTCTTTTATGCATCCAAAGCTGTATGTTTAATTTTTGTGAAAACACATTATAAGCTATGAACTGGGAAGGAGATCAGTAACGAAAGAATCTGGAAACCATGTGACCTATAGTTAAGAATAGCTGTAGGAAGTGAAAATGTTCATCTCAGACATGATTAAGGGGTTTCAGTGATCAAGTTAAGTAAGTGACCTGTAGAAAAGAGTGGGGGGGCTCTCCCTGGCAGTGCAATGGGTTAAAAACACAGCACTATGAAGCTATCCACAGCCACTGCTGCAGTACATCTGCCTGTTCTGCTCCCCACTGTCTTTGGTGAATACTCTTAACTCCTGTGGCACCTGTGGCCTGCACCTCAGTTCTTGCATGCATAAATATTTAGAAGTATGTTATAAAAACAAACAATCCTTGCCAGCCCAGCAATCCCATTCATTCATAGGTATTTACACAAATAAAGTGAAAACCAATACACATATAAACCTGTATATGACTGTTTCTAATTGTGATTTCATTGGTAATTGTTCAAGGTTGAAAAAAAAGTACACTAGAATTCATCCCCTTCAGTTGGCAATAAATTGTCTTACATCCAGTAAAAAGAACAAATTACTGACAGATGCAAAATAATCTCAAATACATCATATTAAAACCAGACTCAAAGGTTATATACAAATCTGGCTAGATTACTTAAAAATACAAAATTACTGGGACAGGAGATAAATCAGTGGTTTCAAGGAT